TAATTTAATTATATATAAAGATTTAGATTAATAATCCTATTAATTCATATTCACTTATTTTTCAAGATTTTCTTGATCAAACTCTAATATTTTAAGAGCTTCTTAATAATCTTCAAGAGATTTATAATAATATTACAAATTAATAAACAGTTTTGCTAATATGTTTTCTATTATTTCATACCTCTCTTAAAATAAGCTAAAAAAGATTTTGGATCCAATTCAATACCTTTGTTTAAATTTTCAAGTGCCAATTCATAATTTTTTTATTTCATATATAATTTTCCTTATTATTAGTGATATATTACCTATATTTATATACAATTCAGCTGAATTTGAATTTAATTCAATCTTATTGATTAATTCTTTTATCATTTTTTCTTCCTTAATTATCTTCTATTATATAGGTACTTATAATATAATTCTTCTTATTACATTAACTAAAATATTAAAGTATAGTTTTGTAATCAATATCAATTGGTTTTTCAGAATCTTTTAATTTCAAATTTTTAATTCCACAAAAATAATATCTTAACACTATTTAATTATGTTAAAATACTTACTACTAATCTCATCTTCTTCAGATTAATTAGGATCCTAATCTACGACTTCTAGAATATTATTAAATATTAATAATACTATCAAATAAACTAGGTTTAATTTAAAGGAATTGAATAAATCCACTCAAAGTTATTCTATCACCTTTAATCATTCCTTTTAATAAATCTATGTATTAAATATCAATTACTTCTACAAAATTTAGCTTGAAGAAATTCAGGATTCAATTCAAGAGCTTTATTAAAATCTTCAATAGCTTGCATTATAATTTATTGCTATCCGAGTATAATTTCTTTGTAATATTTTTTTAGTTTACCTCTTAATTTAGACTATTCCCATGCATCACAATTCTAATCAAAAGCTTTATTGTTTAATATTTAAGTAATTTCTTCTTCATCTATTTTCAAACTCTTCATTTATAAAAGTCCTATGTTGTTTCATTAATAATTTACCTCTTTAATGATAAAGCATCATAGAATCAGATTTCAATTCAATCACTTTATTAAAATCAATGAGTGCCTTTTCATCTTCTCCAATAATCTCGTTTAAAATTGCTAAGTAATTTAATAATTAGTTTACCTCTACAAGCATAAGCATTATAAGATGTTGGTTTTAATTCTATTAATTTTTCAAAGTCCTTTAGTGCCTTATCTTTATAGCCTGTTTTCCAAAATAACATTCCTAATATATATCATAAATTGAAACCTCTTTTTTCATAAGCATTAGCAAATTTTTCATCAATTTAAATAGCCTTATTTAAATTTCTTAATGCCGGGTCATAATTATCAATTTGAAAATATAGATTCCCTAAATAATAAAAAAACCTTAAAACCTAAATTATAATAAGCTTAGCAACAATTATCATCTAATTCTATAGCTTATTTAAAAAAGATAAGTCCATCATAATTTTTACTTTATTTTACCATCAATATCCCTAATTATTATTTATCATTATACCCAATCCTGCATATACCAAAGCATAATTTGGATTTAATTTAAGAGCACGTTCACAATCTTCATGAGCTTCCTTCCACATCTTTTTTTTTATAAACCATTTTGCTTGAAATTATAAAACAAATTTACATCTAAGATAAAATGATTCTTCTATAAATGGGTTTAATTGAATAGCCTAATTCAAATTAATGATTGCTTCATCATATAACTTTTTGATTAATAAGATTTTTCCTTTTAGAATTTCAGAGGTAATTACCTCTTAATGTTAAGGCTTAAGCAGAATCAGGGCACAAATTTAAAGAATCATTAATATAATTCAAAGCTTCGTCAACCATATTATTATTAAGCATATCATCTATTTTTTATCTTTCAATAGTTTGCATTTAAATTTATTTATTATGTTTTTATCATATAAATAATAAGAATTCAATGATATTTATTGAATTTTCAAAACATCAAAATCATAAATCCTTAGAAAAAATCAATTCTTTAAGTTATAACAAATATGCATATAATCTTATATTCTGGGAGTTTAATTTTGATAAGTTAGTCAAAAACTTATTAGAATGCATGTGCAAATATATAATCACTATTAAGAAACAGAATAACAATGTATAAATATTTTTGTTCATATTGATATCATCTTTTTATTTTCTATTAAATTAATAATAATTATTAAGAAAGTTATAAATTTTTTATTAATAAATAAAAATTACTCTTGTGATAATCGGAGGTATATTTTATAAGCATTGTTAATAAAAAAAAAAGATTATTTGTTTATCTCGATTTCAACTATTTAGGTTTATTTGATGGTTAAAATTATCTCTTAAAAAGAATTAATTGATCAAATTGAATAATAGATTGTAATATGAGAATTTGATTATCTAAAATGAATAAATTTTAATCAAGGTTTATTGAAAGTGAATTATGATGTTTGATAGAAATTAAAACTCATAGGTATTAAATATGATTTTAATTTAGCTTATTATTTACTCATATTTATATAATAAATAAAATAATATAAAAAAATAATATTTGAAATTGCAAATTCTCAATACTAAAATATATATAGGCATTTCGATTTTCATCTTAATTTAAAACAAAGCTAATCTCATTTTACAATTACTTTTTGATTCTCTTTGTTATTTACAACGATAAATTACTTCTAAAATGCAAATTTAAATATAATATAAATCATATATTATCAAGTTTATTTTTAAGCTAATCACTAGATGATAATTTATTTAGATGATCATATGTCAACTTAATCATATTTTTTTTAAATCTTAACATTAATTATTGTAAAATTTATCAAAATATTAAAGAATTATGTAATTTCTGAAATGATTCACTCGGGTTATATGGGGCTATCTTATAAATAAGTCTTTCGATCGTATGTTATAAAGTATTAGAATCACTAATTTGAAATCAAATATATTTTATGAAAATATAACCCATTTATGTTATTTTTAAAGAAAGTCTCTTCTTTTAGGCCATAATTTCAATGATTTGATATTTCTAAAAATAAAAGATAAGAGGAGCTTGTAGTTAAAATTCAATGAAAAATTCAAATCAGTTTAAATTTAAGATATTTAGTACTTTATTATGAAAACAAAATCAAACTGTATATTTTTGAAATGAATATCTTAATTAATAATACATATTTTTATTTAAATTTGCAATTATCTTCAAAATAATATAGAATTTTTTACTTAATTTAACAGATAAATTATTTTAATAATAAATTTATATGTGGATATTTTGAAAATGTAAATTTTATACATTTTACAGAAAAGAATTGGGAAAAGAGTTTGAAAATAATTAAGTCAAATACGGTGATTGTATTAAATTTGGAAATAAATTTATAAATCTAACTATTAATAAAAGGATATTCAAATTAATATTCTATATGCTTTTATTATATGATATGATATGGTTACATAATTACACTAAAATTCAAAAAAATTCTCAAGGAATTAAAAATGGATTAGTTTTCATTGGCATCTAATTTTACTTGGAATAATATAACTTTTTCACCATAATCTTTTTCAGTTTTATACATATCATGCATAATTATGATACGAAATTAATAAATAAGCATGACAATAACATTCCTATTTAAAACCATGCAAATTATATTTGAATACTATAATTCAATTTATCTGTAAAATTATTCCAATATAATGCTGATGAAAAACAAAATATAAATGAACTTATTTCCAGTGCCATAGTATTAATTTAATCTATGATGTTCTTAAAAGGTTTCATAATGAAAAGATAGATTAAATAGAATTAGCATACAAAAGTTAATAACATAATTTGTAGTTTTTGATTTTATTGTACCATCACTAATACGCTAATAAATAAAGCTTTTTTCAATATTTTGATTTAATTTGACTTTGAAATCCATAATTATTTAGGACTCCTTATAATTGGATTACTTATTCTACTAAACATTGTGGATGAAAGAAAAAGACTGATATACAAAATCAGATATGCAATTAATTTAGAAATAATGTTGTTAGTTTTTGACTAGATTTAGAGAAAGGACATAAAAAGNAATATGAGAATTTGATTATCTAAAATGAATAAATTTTAATCAAGGTTTATTGAAAGTGAATTATGATGTTTGATAGAAATTAAAACTCATAGGTATTAAATATGATTTTAATTTAGCTTATTATTTACTCATATTTATATAATAAATAAAATAATATAAAAAAATAATATTTGAAATTGCAAATTCTCAATACTAAAATATATATAGGCATTTCGATTTTCATCTTAATTTAAAACAAAGCTAATCTCATTTTACAATTACTTTTTGATTCTCTTTGTTATTTACAACGATAAATTACTTCTAAAATGCAAATTTAAATATAATATAAATCATATATTATCAAGTTTATTTTTAAGCTAATCACTAGATGATAATTTATTTAGATGATCATATGTCAACTTAATCATATTTTTTTTAAATCTTAACATTAATTATTGTAAAATTTATCAAAATATTAAAGAATTATGTAATTTCTGAAATGATTCACTCGGGTTATATGGGGCTATCTTATAAATAAGTCTTTCGATCGTATGTTATAAAGTATTAGAATCACTAATTTGAAATCAAATATATTTTATGAAAATATAACCCATTTATGTTATTTTTAAAGAAAGTCTCTTCTTTTAGGCCATAATTTCAATGATTTGATATTTCTAAAAATAAAAGATAAGAGGAGCTTGTAGTTAAAATTCAATGAAAAATTCAAATCAGTTTAAATTTAAGATATTTAGTACTTTATTATGAAAACAAAATCAAACTGTATATTTTTGAAATGAATATCTTAATTAATAATACATATTTTTATTTAAATTTGCAATTATCTTCAAAATAATATAGAATTTTTTACTTAATTTAACAGATAAATTATTTTAATAATAAATTTATATGTGGATATTTTGAAAATGTAAATTTTATACATTTTACAGAAAAGAATTGGGAAAAGAGTTTGAAAATAATTAAGTCAAATACGGTGATTGTATTAAATTTGGAAATAAATTTATAAATCTAACTATTAATAAAAGGATATTCAAATTAATATTCTATATGCTTTTATTATATGATATGATATGGTTACATAATTACACTAAAATTCAAAAAAATTCTCAAGGAATTAAAAATGGATTAGTTTTCATTGGCATCTAATTTTACTTGGAATAATATAACTTTTTCACCATAATCTTTTTCAGTTTTATACATATCATGCATAATTATGATACGAAATTAATAAATAAGCATGACAATAACATTCCTATTTAAAACCATGCAAATTATATTTGAATACTATAATTCAATTTATCTGTAAAATTATTCCAATATAATGCTGATGAAAAACAAAATATAAATGAACTTATTTCCAGTGCCATAGTATTAATTTAATCTATGATGTTCTTAAAAGGTTTCATAATGAAAAGATAGATTAAATAGAATTAGCATACAAAAGTTAATAACATAATTTGTAGTTTTTGATTTTATTGTACCATCACTAATACGCTAATAAATAAAGCTTTTTTCAATATTTTGATTTAATTTGACTTTGAAATCCATAATTATTTAGGACTCCTTATAATTGGATTACTTATTCTACTAAACATTGTGGATGAAAGAAAAAGACTGATATACAAAATCAGATATGCAATTAATTTAGAAATAATGTTGTTAGTTTTTGACTAGATTTAGAGAAAGGACATAAAAAGGAGATCCCAACTATTTGTGTTCAGAAAGTCTTAGAATGCTTAAGTTTCAAAGTTTCTTTTTAATTTTTACAAAGACTTTAAGACTTTCATTAAAAATTTAGCAATTTATTAACCAAAATAAAAAAACTATTAATATGTTAATTTCCTTAATAGTTTTATGACTAAATAATTTGAATAATAAGTAATCATAAGTATGATAATTTGGAATACTTAAGTTTATATATTACATAAGATATCTGCATTGACTTCATAGAATAATAATTTCTCCTAAGATTCCAAATATTAATCATCCATAAATGATGTTAATACTTTATCAATTCTAATTTTGTCCATAATAGGTTACATTGATATCAAATTACTTGATTCAAAATAAATAAATAAATTGAGAGGAAAAACTACATTAATAAATCTAAGGTAGGATTACTATTGAAGTATTTCAAGTGTTTCTTAAATTAATAATGAGCCACAAAGAATCAATATTAACACAACTGATCCTCCCATTGAAATCATTGTGTATTTAGCAACTTCTTTAAGGTAAATAGCATTCAATTTTTAATGATCATTAAGGTATTATGGAAGATTAAGTTTGACTTAATTAATTTGATTTATAAGTGGAGCATCATTTTGATTAAAGAGTTAATCTTCTAGAGTTACTTCTAAAATAGGAGGTTATGATAAAGTAGTATTTATTACAACTTCCACTAAATATTCTGCAGATGAAACTAATTCAAAGGGTTCTTGGATTGGAATCAAATTTAAATCATAATATATTTCTTTTGGTCCAATTAAACGCATACTTATCATTTTCAAAAAAACATTCTAACTCTTTGTTTTAACCATTTGATCAAAATAAATAGAAACATATTAATATTAATGATATGTATTTTTTAATGAAAGTTAGAATGAAGGATATTTTTCATAATTACATTCTGAAAATGAGTATTAATAATTCTTACAAATATAATTCTATTCAATTTTACATTAACTAGAACATCCATCCCCATTTTCTATATTAAAATCATCACATTCTTCATCATCAGACACAACACCATTTCCACATATAGGTTAACAATATTTTTCAATATAATCAAATGTATATCCAATTATACATTACTGACATTCACCTTCTATGCAAACATCACAATACTTAGGACAAATAAATTAACAATTTTAACAATCTTATTAATCTAATTCACATACTTCATCTCTAGCTATTATTCCATCTCCACAAATTGTTTAACATTTATTGTTGATTAAATAGAATCCAATATCACATTCTTAACACATCATATTTATACATAATTTACAATTGTTTAAACATTATTACTGCTATTCAATAAGAAATTAATCTTGCGTATTTATAAGGAAATCTTTAGTACATGTAAATTCATAGAATATCCATCCTTCTTAGCATTCAAAACAAATTCCCTTAATACAATTAGAACAACCTTCAAAACAAGAATATTGGCAATTAAAACATCCATCAAAGGGATATATATTTCCATCATCACATTGTTCAGCTTTATCTATCTCTCCATTTCCACAAATTCCTTCACAAACAAAATCAAAAGGAAAACCAAATGGACAATCTTAAATTATTGATATATTTACCTATAAATATTTCAATATCTCTTATGCCAAAAGATAATTCTGAAAGTGGATTTGTCAATGAAGTAGTAAATTACAATTCTAACAATTATTATTTATGAGGCAAAATAATTTCCTAATCTAATATTTTCTCACCAATCTACCCACCACAAAGATTAATTTTCCCTGTAACTGATTAATGAGAATAATTCCATATTAATTGATTATCAACATATAATTAAGCATATTCAGAATCCCATTTGTCAATGAAAATAAACCTAAATTTAATTTTAATTTAACAGTGAACTGGCAAGTTTATTGATTTTATAATTTTGCTTTTTTGTTCATTTTTAACCAATCCTCTTAATATAGGAATAGCTAAAATAGTGTAAAATAAAATTACAAGAACAAGAATTTATAGATTATTCTCCTTCCAAAATTATCCATCCTTCCATTTAGAATTAATCAATATCCACATTTAACAAGCTTTGATATTAAATAACCCAAATCTGGCAAAGAATAGCTGAATCTTCTGAAGTACAAGTTTAACATCCAGGTGGACATTCATAGATATATAANCCCCATTTTCTATATTAAAATCATCACATTCTTCATCATCAGACACAACACCATTTCCACATATAGGTTAACAATATTTTTCAATATAATCAAATGTATATCCAATTATACATTACTGACATTCACCTTCTATGCAAACATCACAATACTTAGGACAAATAAATTAACAATTTTAACAATCTTATTAATCTAATTCACATACTTCATCTCTAGCTATTATTCCATCTCCACAAATTGTTTAACATTTATTGTTGATTAAATAGAATCCAATATCACATTCTTAACACATCATATTTATACATAATTTACAATTGTTTAAACATTATTACTGCTATTCAATAAGAAATTAATCTTGCGTATTTATAAGGAAATCTTTAGTACATGTAAATTCATAGAATATCCATCCTTCTTAGCATTCAAAACAAATTCCCTTAATACAATTAGAACAACCTTCAAAACAAGAATATTGGCAATTAAAACATCCATCAAAGGGATATATATTTCCATCATCACATTGTTCAGCTTTATCTATCTCTCCATTTCCACAAATTCCTTCACAAACAAAATCAAAAGGAAAACCAAATGGACAATCTTAAATTATTGATATATTTACCTATAAATATTTCAATATCTCTTATGCCAAAAGATAATTCTGAAAGTGGATTTGTCAATGAAGTAGTAAATTACAATTCTAACAATTATTATTTATGAGGCAAAATAATTTCCTAATCTAATATTTTCTCACCAATCTACCCACCACAAAGATTAATTTTCCCTGTAACTGATTAATGAGAATAATTCCATATTAATTGATTATCAACATATAATTAAGCATATTCAGAATCCCATTTGTCAATGAAAATAAACCTAAATTTAATTTTAATTTAACAGTGAACTGGCAAGTTTATTGATTTTATAATTTTGCTTTTTTGTTCATTTTTAACCAATCCTCTTAATATAGGAATAGCTAAAATAGTGTAAAATAAAATTACAAGAACAAGAATTTATAGATTATTCTCCTTCCAAAATTATCCATCCTTCCATTTAGAATTAATCAATATCCACATTTAACAAGCTTTGATATTAAATAACCCAAATCTGGCAAAGAATAGCTGAATCTTCTGAAGTACAAGTTTAACATCCAGGTGGACATTCATAGATATATAATTTGAAATGTCTAATTCCCCACCATTCCTTTCATAAATAATATTCTTACATCTTGCTAACCTTTTAAATTCGATGTCATAAGAATAAAAAGTGATTTGAAGTTGTGATTTTATGTTACACTGATTTATGATATTTCTTCACGCCATACCTGCCCAGTTCTTGATCCACACAAGTTTGGATTTGTAGCTGACGATCCATACATTTTTGAGAATATTAGCTACTAGTCTACATATATATAAAAATATTCATCATCCCAAGAATCCATTCTATATATTTATAATATATATTACTTCCAAAATTCTACTGTAATCATAATTGCATAGTGTGGAGGTAGAGTTATAAGTTTTGTAATCATTGTGTTCTTTCCAAATACTTCATAACCTCCAAATAATTTTATTTCATTACATTCACCTATATTTTTGGGTGCATTATATACTTACCATCCTAACATTAAATAATATAAAATACCTTCAGTATCTACAAAGCTATCATCTATAAAGTTTTCTTGGTACAAAATCTATCCATAAGAAATTGCAAATTGCGTGAAAAGCATTTAATAGAGCATAATGAATAATAATTTAAATTTTTATGGAAAAAATTAATCAAACTGATATATGAACTTTTAAAATTCCATTTATTTTCAACCGGTGCTAGTTTACATACTAAATAATCATTAAGAAGTCTTCTTTATGATTTTTCTAGAATGAAACCCTTCTTTAACATGTATGAAAATTTAAAAATTTTTATGGAATAGTTAAATTTATTGATAAAATAATATTTATATAATTATGTCTAGTTCTTTTAAATTATAATTATTATCATTTTAGTTATCTATTTTATAAATTTCTCTATAAGATTCCATATTAGTGGTATATTATGTTATAAAAAAAAGAATTAATCTAAGAAATAATTTTTTTATATGCCTCTATATTTCTAGCTTAATACAATAAAAGCTTTAAATAAACCAACTGATTGTTGAGATTTTTTAATTTTACAACTTAAATGAATAATACCTAAAGTATCTTTAATCACTTCAATTTTTACAAATTTTTTTTTTCCTTTTTATTTTCCCTCTAAAATTTTCATTGACTATCTCTTATTTTTATTTAAATTTGAATTAAAGCACACACTTTAAAACAATAAATTAGATATGGCTTTGAATTTATTTTTTAGAAAGGTTTAAATTGTAAATATCATTATAATCAGATGAAAAAAACAATTTGAATAGTATATGTATATGATTTTTTTCTTTAAGAAAATTAAGCAACATGAATCTATTCATCTAGTTATTATTTGTAAGACAGCATATATACTGAATTAGAATCATCAACTTCTAATACAAATTATTATAAAAATCAATTATCAATCACTATATAGACATCATTTACAATCTCAAATTAAAGTATGCTTCTATCCTCAAAAATTACTCTTTAAAACATTGAATTGTGAACTTTACGAGCTGAATAAAATGTGAAATTAATACTAAGTTTTTTTATTCCATAACAAGTTTTCTTATACTTATAAATTTGCCTAATTTTCATGATATTTTGGTACAATTTCATAGCTTCTTTATATGTTAAGCAATCATTTCTTAATATTTATAGTACTTATTATCATATGAATCTAATAAATCTATATGTTCTACTGACATTTACATATAGATAATTCAAATTATTTTTATATATTGTTTTAGTTTAGTATTTCTGTAGGTCTGCTCTTTCAAGCAAAAATTCATACTACAAAACAAATCCTAACCTCATAATAGAAGAATTGATCTCATGAAAGAGGAGTTATTGATTTCAACCTCATTAAACCTAAGAATACAAAAATTCATTATACACCATTATTTTAGATGAGATCTTGATAGCTTAAGTGATATATTCATATATTGTTACATCTACACAAAATCTTGAATATCAATTAAGATTAATCAATAATGTAATAAGCTTTATTTTTTTGATTAAAGAGATTCTTTTATTTAATCTCTTAATCAATTTGGAAAATTACAAAATGTAGCATTTTTTATAATATCAAAATATAAAGATGCTTCATGAAAATTGAATGAATTTATGAATGTAATATATTTGATGAAATCAAAATCTTTCTTCAAAAAATTTGTGACAATTTTATTTGTTCTTAAATAATTATTAGATTTATTTCAGTAGAGATTAAATCAAATCAGCTTTATTATTTTATTAAACATTATATTGTATATATGTAAATTTATAGATTACTAATTGCTTTATTACATTAAAATATATAGAAGTGATTTGTTATGAATAGAATTAAACAGGAAAAAATCAAATATATAAAATGGTCCTTATTAAATGATGAAAATATCATTAGCAATGAAATTAATTCTATATCCTTTCCATTAAGCTTATATTTTTATTTACGATTTTTAAATCAAGATAAGATCAATTTGTTCCTTTTTATTTTTTGATTTAATGTTAATCCTTAAACATAAAGTTTAGATGTGTAGTTGTAGTATAGCATACCTAACTTAAAGGTGATTTAGACTTGGATGAATAATATCTAATAGCATGATCATTTGATCTAGTTATGATAAGATATTTTAAAGGAGAAAGAAGTTGTTTTGAAAATTGAGGATCTAAAGATAAGATAATTCATAGACAAAGCTGTGACAATAAATTATTATTATTTGAAAAATTTAACAGTATTTAATCATGCATAAAAATATTAATTGTTTTAATTATTCTGAAGAATTACTTTATAAGGGAAGAATTCTAAATTATATTACATATTTTTCATAATAATTGTTTGGTCCTATTTCATTATTTTGATGTAAATTATATAAAAATATTATGTTCTCAAATATCAAACAGAAATCAGTATTTAATCAAATGATGAGAGCAATAAAATAATGAGAGATTATTCAGTATCCCACATTAAGAAGTTTCATAAGGTTCTTTAATGATTTCAATTGATTAACGCATATTCGAGTGATACCCTTAAACCTAAATATTTCTGCTAAGGCTGACCTCCTTAAACAGCCAAGAGAATCTGAAGTTATATATGAAGAATTTATAGAATTGAATTCTCAGTTAAGAAGGCTAAAGGCATCATCACATTTATTTTTCATCCTATTCTACTTAAGAATAAGAAGAAGATTGGGATATGATAAGAGTTTCATATTTAATTATTATTATGAATACATCTACTTTTATCATTTTTTCCAGTGTCAATTCAGAGTCTTCTTTTCTGTGTTTTCTGACATTCCAATCAATACCTTGTTCCCATCTTTAAAAAAATAGAATTATCATTATTACTAAATCTTATTGCAATTTAAATAAGCCCGAAAAAAGTATTTCAAATGAATTAGACCTAATACTTAATAACCTCATCCACTTTATATTGATATCATCATAATTGTTGCACTAAGTTAGGCAAGAAATTAAACTTATGGCCATACCTAAGCATAGACACTAATTTTATATGCCCTAAATAACTAATTCATTATTAGCTTCATACTTTTATTTTTTGACAAAGTATTACAAACAGGAAAACATTTATATCTGAATTTATGATGAAATTTCTTAAAAATTATATTTCCACATTGAGCCTATCAAATTGATTCTAAGTTGAATATGATAAATCTTAAACTATTATTTCTAAATATTAATCAAAATAATGCAATTAAATTTACAAAATTAAAAACTATAATTTACATAATAGTTTTCTTATTAAATGAAACAAATCTTGTGTTGATAATTTGAGCAAGATAGAAAATACTAAATCCATCTCCAATATTAAATTACCATCATTTTATTTTTCTTAATAATCATATTATTCAGAATAGATGAGGCATAATGAATCTATTATTTATATAAATATAAGTAGAATATCTAATTATACAGAATTACTTACATTTTTTTAATCTAAATAAACTTCATTTGCATCATTCCGTTTTTCTAATTACCTACTTGTCAATCTACATAACTTAAGGTAAACTGTTGGATCATTTTTAACAGGAAGTTAATTATACATCTTCTTTATAGGAGCAATGTATGGTTAATTCACATTATTTTATTTAAATCATAAAAATACAAGTTAGAATTCTTCCATACTAACTAATAGAATTTTAGAAAATACTAATGTTATTAAAGGGTTTCTTTCTCTTTCTTGATGTTTTTTACAATGTCTGGGCAAACTTGCCTCAGATCAACCTTGGTTCGATTAGAAATAAGGCTGGAGGGGAATTTATAACTCCAAACCCCCAGATCTAGCTACAGTTTATAAGTGGAGAAAGTATTAGAAGCCTCTTCGACCTCGATATTCAGAAACTTTTTTCGGTAAAACTTCCCCATGGATATTTGTGCAATTAATTTTAACTTAGAAAATCTAAATTTTAGAAATTAAATACTATTCTTCATGCTACTACTTGCATTACTGAATAATAAGTTCTGAAATTTAATTTCCAATCATCATTTGATAATGTTAATAATAAATCATTTTTTTGACTTATTAACCATAATAATAAAATACTTGAAATCATAATTACTTTATTAAACGCATAAAATGATTTTATAATAATTGCTATTCATATAAAAAGGCTATTAGTAATGAGCAAATACAATATTTAAATTTTGACCCAAAAATTCAGAATAAATATACTAATTATAATAATTCATTTTAAATCAATTTCATTCTAAAAACTCAAAATTATTAATAATGAATTATTGATTATTTTATAACTTGTAAATATATATATATATATAGAAATTTTTTACATAACACTAATTAATTAATATCTAAACAAAATTTAATAAATATCTAAATATCAGTATATATAAATAAATAAGAAAAATGAAATGAGTTGAGATGCATTAAACAATCATAAGCTATCTATTATTATACTAAAAAATTATATCATTTGTATTTCTATCAAAAAAATTAATAGAAATTAGTAAAATAAAGCAAAGAAACTTTTTTTATAATCTAATAATTGTTATTATGAATCCAGAGTATCAAAGAATAAAATTTATATTTACTAGTTTGGAAAAATTTATCATTATGGTATTTCGACAATAAAAACTAGGATTTTAACATGAAGATTGCCTTATCAGATTTGAAAAATACTTTTACAAATGTTTTAAAGATAGATTTATTTTCAAAATAACCTCAGTTTTTTATTTCTAAAGGCTTTCATTCTATTTAATTAAACTCTCATCAAAGTTTAAGTGGCCAAACCATATAGAATTTCAATTAAAAGGATTAGAATCCCCTAGAGATTATAGTAAAATTTCATGAAGAAGGAGCATGATAGAATTCTTCAATGATTATCTAGGACTCAATATTCATTGAAATAAATCAATATATCCTATATATATCTCAAAAACAATTTTTATTTCATAGACTATCACTTTATTAATATAAGTAGTATCTTTTAATGTCTTACATGATAATAGTCTTATTCATAACTCAATATAATCTATAATGATTTCAACATATTCTATCAAATATAATTCATTACAATATTTTTAAAATCAAGTAAACTACAATAATATAAATCATGAATGGAATTTTATTTTAATTAAATAAGCTGAAAGTTTATTGAACTTAAATAATGATTAACATAATTAAATAAAGATAAATTCAAATAATAATATCAGGACAATTCTATTATAATTTCTTTAACAAGATATTAATATACCGACTACATTATTATTGCATGTAAATATATAATTTTTTAATTCAACAATAAAATTATTATAAGTGAGTTCTATATACAGTACTTTAATTCATTCCTGATCGGGCTGTTCGAAAATAATCCTACTTTCATTTTTCAATCTTATATTATAATATCAACTTAACAAATTTTTAATGAGTTATCCTACCATAATTAGAATCGCAGCTGCTAGATTTATAACATCTTATGAAAATGCCTTATTATAGTTTCCGTTCCATTATCCAAATCCTATTATTAAAATTATGTAACATGACTCCATTGTCCTTTGCTATATTAATTATTCTGATATTTCAATCAATCTTTTTAAAATAATCTTTTAAAACCAATTTGGCTAATTTAGGCAAATATTTTATGATTTTGCTTAATCAGAGTAAATAAATATATAATGATATTCAAAAACATTAAAGGAAAAGAAAATCATTAATTTAACTTTAAAATTTACTCTCTGAAGGTATACTTTGAAGTGCTGGTGAACTAGTTTAGATTTATAATGAATTTGCATGATTGTATTCAAATGATTTTGAAAATATAAAAAGAACCTAAATATTTCTTGATCTCTTTAATAAACATATAATTTTTGATAATTAATTATTTATTATTATGAATAATCTAATTTGGTTATATTGTAATTTCTAATTAAGATATATGTATTTATATAAAATTCAAGTACTATGTTGCTTCTATTTTAACTTAAAGAGATTTAATAGTTTTACAATTGGTNCCCCTAGAGATTATAGTAAAATTTCATGAAGAAGGAGCATGATAGAATTCTTCAATGATTATCTAGGACTCAATATTCATTGAAATAAATCAATATATCCTATATATATCTCAAAAACAATTTTTATTTCATAGACTATCACTTTATTAATATAAGTAGTATCTTTTAATGTCTTACATGATAATAGTCTTATTCATAACTCAATATAATCTATAATGATTTCAACATATTCTATCAAATATAATTCATTACAATATTTTTAAAATCAAGTAAACTACAATAATATAAATCATGAATGGAATTTTATTTTAATTAAATAAGCTGAAAGTTTATTGAACTTAAATAATGATTAACATAATTAAATAAAGATAAATTCAAATAATAATATCAGGACAATTCTATTATAATTTCTTTAACAAGATATTAATATACCGACTACATTATTATTGCATGTAAATATATAATTTTTTAATTCAACAATAAAATTATTATAAGTGAGTTCTATATACAGTACTTTAATTCATTCCTGATCGGGCTGTTCGAAAATAATCCTACTTTCATTTTTCAATCTTATATTATAATATCAACTTAACAAATTTTTAATGAGTTATCCTACCATAATTAGAATCGCAGCTGCTAGATTTATAACATCTTATGAAAATGCCTTATTATAGTTTCCGTTCCATTATCCAAATCCTATTATTAAAATTATGTAACATGACTCCATTGTCCTTTGCTATATTAATTATTCTGATATTTCAATCAATCTTTTTAAAATAATCTTTTAAAACCAATTTGGCTAATTTAGGCAAATATTTTATGATTTTGCTTAATCAGAGTAAATAAATATATAATGATATTCAAAAACATTAAAGGAAAAGAAAATCATTAATTTAACTTTAAAATTTACTCTCTGAAGGTATACTTTGAAGTGCTGGTGAACTAGTTTAGATTTATAATGAATTTGCATGATTGTATTCAAATGATTTTGAAAATATAAAAAGAACCTAAATATTTCTTGATCTCTTTAATAAACATATAATTTTTGATAATTAATTATTTATTATTATGAATAATCTAATTTGGTTATATTGTAATTTCTAATTAAGATATATGTATTTATATAAAATTCAAGTACTATGTTGCTTCTATTTTAACTTAAAGAGATTTAATAGTTTTACAATTGGTTCATTAGTTATTTGCTCAAATAATAGAAAAAAGGAAAAAATAAATACGACTAAAAATTTTGATAATTCCATTAATCCTTTTAAAGTCTGAAACCTATCTATCAACAAATAACAATATATTTTGTTTTGGTAATTGAAAATCTAAAAATAATTACATAATATTAGTAGAATAAGTTAGTATATTCAATTTCATGATCTCTATATTTTAGTATTAGACCTTGAAATATACTTCTATACATAGCAATCAAAAAACAAAAAATGAATTCATTTGAAATTTTTAGTCAAAATATAGCAACAAAAACAGAAACTTATTTTTTATAATTTTATCAAATATTAGATGTAAACTTGAATATTTGTTTATTATATATCAATATTAGGTTCTCTATAGAAATAGCTTATCTCTTGATTATCTATAAGAATTCTATACGACAAATTTCCAACCGTATTAAAAATTAGATTTCCATACTTAGATCATGATACAATATTTAACTACTGGATTTATGAATAAAATATCATGGAAGGATGAAGTATTAGATTTAAAAATCTTGTATGCTTAATTCATGAATAATGAAATATATTCCTATCTTTGCTTTTTAACTGAGAATTATTTTTAAGTATTTAAATAAAATTAATGTATGTTCTATATCCTTTTATAAATTTATGATTTTATTTTATCAACCAGAATGTCACAGAGTAAAAGAGAAGGGTTAGTAGAATAAATAAATTTATCAGTTGATTTATTGTTTAAAGGTTAAAATCCTTAATTTATATGATTAGATTTTAAGGTTGGTAAGCAATTTTTAGATTTAATTATTCAAGACTGTTTGTATGCTTAGTATAAATCACTATTTTATAAGATTAATTGATTATAAAGAAATACAATCGAAGCATAATTAAAACTTAAACTTATTTAGATAAAGTAAAATTTGAGTAAAATTTACAAAGAAGTATGAATCTATTCTCTTTGTTCATTTCAATTGTATTTAATTCATAATTTTCGTATTATTTATATTAAAATGAAAAGATACTAACAATGATTCTTATTTGTTTTAGTTTACCTATTAGTTTAATGGTTCTTTGAGCAATCTATTCAATTACTTTGATAAGTCAAAATTATCATCTAAAAATAACGAATTTTATAAGGAGCAGGCTGAAAGCACATGAAAAATTATAATGAATAAAATAATTGTTAAAATTGAAATGGTAATTTATGATTATATTAAAAACTTAATAGAAATATAAATATATTAATTAATATTGAGTAATATATAAAATAATTAATTTTTATAAGAAATATTAAAGATTTAGACATAAATAGATAAGATTGATGAAGAATAATAAAGAAAATACTAAAATAATAATCAAATTTAATAAAACATTCTTAAATCAACTCAATATAATCTTACACCATTCAATTATAAGATCAAAATTGTGATGCAATTGCTGTTAATCAAGATTGTTCTGGTCAAGAAATCAAAATAATTCATGGTTTTGTTAAAAGAAATTGAATGGACATACAAGTATAATATGGTGTTTTGCATTAAACGATAAGGAAGATCTTCTTGCATCAGGTGGAAATGATAAAACAATTAAATTGTGGTACAAATAAAATCAATGGTTGTTTTCATAGATAGCAGATCATACTGAAAGGGTTTTAGGATTAAGTTTTAATGAACAATAAAATAGAATTAATATTGAACAATCAGAATAAAATAAATAATAGAATGTAATATAAAAGATTAAATTATAAGACGAATTCGGTCTTCGATTATGCTTTATTGATAATAATACATTCACATTATATCCTTGGGGAGAAGATTACGTGCATGTTTTTGAGTGAAATCCTTCTGGTAAATAATATTCAAATACAAAAATATTCCTTTAAAAGTAATAGTGGATCTGATTGGACATAATATCCTTAATAATACATAAAATCTAAATGTATTTTTGTGAATAAGAATGCTACAAATGTGAATTTAATAAGGAAGTAATAAAATTGTGAATTTACAATTGAGTAATTTATTTAATATAAAACACATAAGATTTTTGGATGTATGAATGATGATGAACAGTATCTGATCACTTGGGATAAACAATCAAAAGAATATCAGGAATTATGATTTATTTTATTATTTAGATAATAAAAAAAAATATCTGTTTAAATCTTTGATTTTCAAATTCATAAATCAATTTGAAATGATTCTTTTTTCTCAAATTTTAAAATCAAAATCTTTTTAAACGCTTTTATAATGTTTAGAGTCTAATGTTTAGACTACTATCAAATTGAAAATATAGATTTTTAATAATATTAATAATTACCAAAATATTATTTATTTGATAAGTTGAATAACTAAATTTCTTTTCTCTTTATTACTACAAACTTAATTTTATTTTATATTAATTAATATATAGTTCTATAAGCTATAAAATGATTAATATTGGCATTTCAATTCCTAGAATATAAAAAGATTATTAGGAACTCTCCATGAAATTTTACAATCAGAAAGAGTAATTAATTCATCCAAAATTCCAAAAAGATAAATTTTTTCATGTTGCTATTCTTAGAATTATAAGAAGATTTCAAAGTTGTTGATAAATGAATTTATTATTTGATAAGAGAATATTATTTTTCATCAATAAAATTAGAAATTATTAGAAAATAAAGATTAAATATCTATATTTTTCTTCAGTTATATAATTGATATTTTCCAAAATTCTGGTGCCTATCAAAATATCAAATTATCTAATCTTAGTAGATGCTACTCCAGATACTAAAGGTATGAATTAAGTAAAAGGAAATTCTTAATAAGATAGTAATTTAATTGAGAAACAATGCTGACTTCTACAAAAATTAAATTTAGAATACTTTTATTTTCAATCCAATAGTAGAATGTCTAATAAAAAATCACTGTAATGCTGAAGAAGTATCATTGCAGTTAAATTTATATAAATTTAGAAATACTTTCTTCTTTGTTAACTTTGACTCTGCTGAAGAAATTGATTATTTTTAATAGAAATTGAATCTAAAATTCTGCTTAAAAAATTAAATTAAATCCAATTAAAACTCATATAAAGTGAATTAAATGAAAAAGAACCTACCTTTATAAATATACTTGAATTGATAGGATTATTTGTATTTATTTATATTGTACATTTAATGTTGCTGTCGACAGATTTATTCTACACATGAGGTCAACACGAGCTAAAGGAGCAATAATGGCCAAGTCCATTTTTCCAAGTGTATAGTTTAGAACAGAAGGGACATATGCATAGGCTCTTATTCCATTTGGGTACTATATAATTCAAGTTGTATAGGATGAGGAATATGAATCTGCAAAATTTGTTGATGAACATATCTTGTTCTACTAAGGATCTTAAATCCATTATTCATAAAGAGTTGTCTAATTGTCTCGTTATTAATGATAATGATTGTTAGGTACCATTTGATCCTTTATTTAGGTATCCTCTAAATTGGCTTCCTGCTA